ATATATTGTATCAACCATACTATTCTGACATAAAATGAATGCTACTGAGTTAAAAGTAGGACATTTCCCTACAAACTAAAGTAGGGATTGTAAAAATATTGCATAAAAACCAAAGTGTGCTGTTTTGTAACTGAGTTATGAACATCAGTTGTCTAAATAAGCACSATTAGTAAAATTATGCCTTCAAATGCAGAAGATGTGTGTAGTATAGGTACAGCGCTACACTGTTTTAAAAAGTCCCTAATTGAACTTGTTAGTACCTTGGAGGCAGCAACAAGCTGAGCAGTGCTTGCAGCTATCTCGTGTGTACAGGCAATGAGCTCCTCATATGATCCTTTTTCACCAACAACTCGATCGGATGAGTCCCTGAGGCAAACGCACAGAAATATGACAGCTTTGTCAATTTGCAAATTTGTATTTAGTTGTACAAGTATCATGCTAATTAAAACGTGTGTTTGTTAAGACAGTTTGAGATACTTCCTCCTCCATCACTGTATGGTACACTGGGGTCACCGGCAGAGACAGACAGAGACTACAGCGAATTGTGCACACTGCCGAGAAGGTGATCGGCTGCAACCTCTGACCTGTAGAGGAGCTGTACTCCTCCAGAACTCCAGGTCACATAGGCAGAATTGCGGCTGACCCTTTTCACCCGGGTCACAACCTGTTTCATCCCCTCCCCTCAGACAAAACACTTAGTCCATTCAGACAAGAACTTCCCACCACAAGAACAGTTTTTTCCCATCAACCATTACACAGATGAACAATGTTTAATTGGCTCTGGTGCTTCGCTGCCGGCCGTGCTTGCATTTTTATTCTCATTCTTCTTATTGTTTTCTTGACTTGTTTTCCTTCATCACTTGTACCACTTAGTTTTGTTTACTTCTTTTTCACTCCTTGCTTATGCGCACCCCTACACCAGAGCAAATACCTAGTCTGTAACTCGCTTACTGACAATGGCAATAAAGTGTTTGTGATTCTGGTACTTACAGCAGCTGAGTTGCCCCCCAGCCCACAGCTTTAGAGGCTGAAATGAGTCCTTCAGTCCAGCGAGAATTTTTGGCATAAAATTCTGTAACAGATGCAGCTCCCTGCAAKAACKAAACAAAACAAACAAAGAAAAACATTTAAAGAAATACAAAGTCCAACTTGTTATCTATGCAGATTTTCTGCTTTGTTCTTCAGAGATGGCACTGCTGACGAGATGTAACAGGGATTTTTCCTCCTCATGTGTGCCCTGTTTTCCAGAGACGTGGCTATGTGTCCAGATCCCAGACTGCACGCTACACCTGGATGGATTTCAACTCATCTGCGTGGACCTAGACTTAGTGCTCTCATGCAAGTCCAAAGGTGGGGGAGTCTGTTTCTTCATCAACACCCGCTGGTGAAACGATGTGTCTGCAATCTCTCAACACTATTCACCTGCTCTGTAATATCTTTTTATCAACTGCAAACCATTCTGCTCTCCACGTGAGTTCACTTCATTCATTGTGGTCGCTGTTTACATTCCGACGGAGGTGGATGCACATGAGGCTCAACGCATACTCGCAGCTCAGATTCTGTGTGTGGAGTGAACTTTTCCAGACTCTTTAGTCATTATCCTGGGTGATTTTAACAAGGGTAATCTGAGCCAGGAACTCCCCAAATACAGACAGTTTATTAAATGCCCGACATGAGCAGAGAAAACCCTGGACCACTGTTACTCAACTGTGAGCAGAGCCTACCGAGCGATGCCACGCATAGCTCTCGGACTTTCAGACCACGTCAAGGTCCACTTAATCCCTGCTTACAGGCAGAGGCTGAAGCTCTCCAAACCTGCAGTGAGGACAACAAAAAGGTGGACCACTGAGGCGGTGGAGGAGCTGCGCGCGTGGACGAGTTTACAGAGACTGAGACCTCATARATCCTATATATACCTCCAGCCACCAGTCTGTGAAACTCATCAAGTATGCAGACGACACCACCCTCATCAGGCTCATTTCAGACAGAGATGAGTCTGCTTACAGGAGGGAAGTGGATCAGCTTGTGTCCTSGTGCAGCGCTAACAACCTGGTGATCAACGCACATAAGACAGTGGAGTTAATCGTGGACTTCAGGAAAGTCACAGTGCCTGCATCCCCTCTGGTTCTCAGCAACTACTCCATCCCGACTGTGGACTACTTCTGCTTCTTGGGCACCACCATCACCCAGGACCTCAGGTGGGAGCCGACCATCAGCTCCCTCATCTCAAAAGCCCAGCAAAGGATGTTGTTCCTATGGCAGCTGAGGAAACACAAACTGCCAGAAGAGATGGTGCGGTTCTTCACAGCCGTCATCAAGTCCATCATCACCTCCTCCATCACTGTATGGTACATTGGGGCCACAGGCAGAGGACTACAGTGCACTGTGCGCACTGCCGAGAAGGTGATCGGCTGCAACCTCTGACCTGAAGAGGAGCTGTACTCCTCCAGAACTCTAGGTCACATCCTGTTTCCTCCCCTCCCCTCAGGCAAAAGACTACGGTCCATTCGGAAAATAAACTCCCGCCACAAGAACAGTTTTTTCCCGTCAGCCATTAGACTAATGAACAACGTTTGATTGGCTCTGGTGCTTTGCTGCCGGCCACGCTTGCYTTTTTATTCTGATTCTTCTTATTGTTTTTTTGACTTGTTTTCCTTCATCACTTGTACCACTTAGTTTCATTATGACCCCCGCACGTGAAGCGTAAGCGGAAGTCATATTGTTTTCGTACTGTTTATTTTTTTATTTTTTCAGTGATTTTTGGTCAACCGTAGCACAAAAACAGCTGCACCGATCAACATGAAATTTGGCAGGACTGTAGTTGAGTCTGACCTACACTGCGCCAGCCAACAGTTTTACGATAGACCCCATATTTGAGGAGGCGGCTCCTTTCAAAGAGGGGGTGTCTGGACATGCAAAAATGCTTATAACTCAGAAACTGTTAAACATAGAAGCTTCAGATTTCTTTTGTTGATTAGCGCTGATGAAGTTCTATCAATCAGGCCCCCATCAATCAGTGCC